ACATACTCGCGCGAAGTTAATTTTGCGCGAGTGCTTAATTGCTCGCCATCATTTTCTTCGTGGGAAGCCCTGATAAAGACATGATTATATTCACCATAACGAAATAAAAAAAAAGTAATGTAGAATACAAAAGATATTTGGTTATATTAGATCAAAAATATAAACATTTAGCGTAAGAAATTCAGCATTAAGAGATATTTGGAATTGTAAGTATTCATTCACGCTGAAATAAAGCGGAACGAAATGACACAATTCAGCCATACAATATATAGTGCGTGTGCGATTGTACAACCATTACTGTTAAAACAAGTTCCTAACCTAAACTGATTTCATTAAATAATCCTTTATCTCTCTCCAACCGTACATATACGATCGCGTTCAGCCTTACTTCTCAAACAAGTCCAACATCTCGTCCAATCAATATTTGATATAAATCATATTTATAAAACCATTTACTGCGAAAACATGAACATTGACAATCTTTTATTTCATAAAATCATAAAACTCTCCCAACAGATCAATAATAACCCTTGGCATGGCGATTTAGTCGGAACTAACGTTAGATTAAAGATACTGTATCATTCGACAAACACCGTAGTGATTTAAACAATGGCATAGAGGGCGATAAACCAGGGCAGAATGATTTACGTTTTCAACATAGTAGGCGACCACTACACTAGGATGTCCCGGGTTAGAATCTCGGTGTAGGCCAAGATCAATGGGTCGAAACGCTGCTATAAAGGCAGAATATCATATAATGTCATTAGATTTACTACAGAGAATTTGATAAATTTTCATTAATTAAAAGGGTATTGCTTTATAAAAACATTGGTATAATAGGAGGGGTGGGGTGGGGCAGGGTAATGTCACGTAGGCTATTATGTAAGGCTGGGCTCATATTAACACAACGCTAAGGTTGGGGATAGCGCTAGTCCTCAGTGTTAGGGAATAACCAGTAAGAAACCATGACTAATGTTTAAATATTATAAAAGAATAACACAATTCAAATATTGAGATATTTCTCCTTATCTACGGGAGATCGTGAATTTTTTGGTAGATAGATTCAACTGTCATTTGATCTTACTTTCGTTTCTATTTTATGTTGTTGATGTTCACGCTGCAGTAACGTCTAACAACATATTTGACAAGTCTGTGTTCAGGTGGTCCCAACTTTCCTTTAGCCAATAAAAAATCGCATTGGCATGAGAAACATTTATTAATGAAGAAGTAGTCTGACGGTCATTTAGTAAATGAAATGAAATGGGGTTTAACGTCCTACTTTTCTACACCGACTAGGCCAATGAAGACAGGCTTACGCCATACAATGTACTATGAGTGTCATATTGCCTGGGTAGCGTCACTGCGGTCTACGCTTATTTTGATTTCCAACTTTACGGCAATCTGTACACAGGACCCCGGTTTTTCGGCCCATCCAAACGTAGTGTAAGCTAAACAAAATTAATACTGGAATTAAATAAATACCAAATTTGCTTCTATTGGCAGACATATATAATAATTATGAAAATGAAATAAAATGGGTTTACGGTTCTACCATTCCGGCCCCGACTGGGCTTATGAAGACGGCATACGCCATACAGTGTGCTGCGAGGGAGTCCGGAAAGCGGCGCTACGGCCTACTCTTATATCGAATTCCAACTGCCAATGGATATTTTACGTGCACACCAATGTGTATACGGTTCGTCCCATCCGAACGACTATACATTATCCCTTGCACCACTGATAATGGGGAATTATGACGGAAAATCCCAATAAACTTTCTCGGCTAACACACAGATCCCAACACGGGAGCTCAAGGTTAGCTATCCAACGTCTTACTCACTGAGCCACCGCATCTACCGGCAATCCATATAACCTTGGCAGTTGCCAAGACATGAAATTGTACAGGATGTCACGAAACCTTATAGGGAAGAAGTAGGGTATAATGCCTCCTCTAATACAATTTCGCATAAATTATCAAATAGTACTACACCGAGAAATTGTCGTCCTTAGTCCACTGCCCTAATACTCAATTAAAATTAGTATTATATGATCTATATTTGCTATTAAGTCCCTCAAGTGCGAAATAATATTTCCATGTGAAATAAATATTAATGATTTACTATATTTAGCCAATAACCTCTTTATTTTTCGCCCGTTAATATCAGTCTGTATTGTATGTATATATATCTTTATTTAGAAAGCGACGGAGTAAGACATGAAATTAACTTTACACACCCCGTGGCTATTCTCCATCTAAGTTCAGGTCTTGGAAATTGATTTTAATACTGAGATTTACAATTCCCGCCCACAACTAACACCATATTCTCCCATTCCAGTCTATATATGGTAACTCTTACACTAACTATATATGCCTTAATCACACCATGTCATTGTCTGTCTTCGCTACCAGTCAGTAACTCTTTCTTTATATATAAATAACTACAAACCCCTTACACGCTATAACATCCCTACCATATAATTATATATAAATATCTCAAATAAAAGTCCTATCTTCATATGTAAGCAACATCAACCCTTTACAAGACAATTATACATATTTTAAACTCTTTATTAAGACACCAACTTTTTGCAGGAAACAACCTTACTTTATATAAATGGCCACATTATAGCATTAATTTCGCCAGTGACTGTAATGTTAATTCTCGTCTCAGTGACCGGCTCTTTTCCCAAAATTTTCGTTAGGTTTACGTTTTCTACCACAGAGAGAGCAAAAACTGGCAACCTCTTACTCAAAAGCATGTATGGGGTTCACTATGGAACTCTTGGGATACACAAACTGAATGTAGCATACTAGTAAACGTGCAACTGTCCGCCCTATATTTTAACAAACCTTTTAACTCTATTATTCTTCCGCCCCAAAATCATGAATATTCTCCAGAACCTACTAGAAAATGTACATTCAAAACCTTTTCTTCGATTCTACACCAAAATGTCAACAAAAATGGCCATGCAAAAGGGGGGAGGGTGAGGACAGAAAGACTATTACTATACGTGGGTAACCATTAGTAGGAATTCATTGTGCCCTGTGTTGGTATAAATATCTAAAAAATATTTATAAGGCCAATCAGTAGCCATATTTGATAAATAACAAACACTTTGCAAGTCGAACTTTGATCCCAATTATTTTATTCCAACCCGTTTGTCACTTTGGTATCTTATATCTACTGAAAGAGAATCGGTTTCCGTTGAGTTATTTGCCCCTGAGTTAGAAATCGGAATCGAACCAGTTATTTCGAATTATTTGATAATCTCGCTTACGAACATAGACGTAACAGCCTTTAGACATTATACTTAGTCATGGTTTAATGTTATTTTTGAAATGTTTTCCACATTACAGGCGCCTGTGAGTCACGGATCTTCTGTAACAAACAAAACAATACATCAAATGAAACGAGGTTTGACGTTCTGCAACCGAAGCATATATAAGTTATTGTCTATCTTAAACGCGCCAAACCGTTAGGTAAGTGAGTTAAATTTCTTTGATATTTGTTCAAAATAATGTCTTAAAGATGGGTTCCCGCGTACAAAATGGGTGAATTAATGGTATATATGGACTAAAAACATATTCAAACTAATTAATTTGTCATAACTTTGCTTCAAATCCTTCTCAAACATTGCAATTGCGAAGGAATGTCCTGCTATAAAAATTCGATCAAGCCAGGACATGTTTACGTCACGTGACTTACCTCTCTTGAAAGTCAGAGGAGAATTCATTGCATACATAAGACGATGTTGTCTTTAATCGCTTACTGTTTATTACCAAGATCGAATCCTAATTAAATTCTCGGATTATCCACTACCCGCGTCTTTTCCCGTCATTTTTATCTCAGAAAGTGTTGTACCTATAACTCTTCATAAAGTTTATCAACTTGTACATCAAGCGCTCAATGTTCGCGTGTGAGCATTGACATCACGCGTGCAGAAATTCCTAACCGTCGGGCTGTTGATTAGGGGAACCCTTACATTTTTGTCCTTTTTACACTCCATGAGTGTTTTTCGGGGAATCCAGTATTTTTCTAGTAAGATTGGATATCTCTACTTTCCATATATACAAAAAATACCATACTTTTATTGGAAATAACCACACGATAAATACTATTCTGGGAATCCATCTTTAAATAGTTTTGAAAAATATATATTTGTGAGATAATATACAATGGGGTTATCGTTTGGAAATAATAAACGGAATTTGTTTTTAGTTTAAACTGTCGACAGCTGAAACCAAAATCCATTATATCTCAACATTGGCTTTATCTGTAGATCTAAATTTTTTAATGTAGACGGGTACTCACTACCCACATGAAATTCAATTAAAGTTTTATTTTTGAACCAGGAACCGGTTCCATACACTTGGGGAATTTCTTCTTGTTGATGTTTTTATTCAATTTGGGTGAATCTATTTGTTAAGGCCAGCTCAATTTTCGTCAAGGTCCCCGAGGTGTAAATAAGGTTAAGTCACGTGATTGTTGGCGAGATTGTAGGTTACGGTTAGGGTAAGCATTAGGGCTAGATCCCAATATTAGGGGTAATGTTGGGATTAGCTCTAGCTCTATTTACATTTCTTAACCTTTAACCAAACTTGAAGTTGGCTTTATCAATCAATTAGATCTAACCTATCGAATATACATCGATCCAAGATTGTTGCCATGATGCCATGGTCACATTCTCTTTCATATAGTACGCTCGTGCCCGTTTACTCAAATCAAAGATGTGTGGTAAATGGACAGTAAGTAATGACAAATACATTCTGCAAAATGGGCCCTCCTTCATGAAGTTAGGTGACAAACATGGCTGCTAAAAATAGATTTTGTTATAGATTGGGGTATCTCCTCGGGAATACAAAGTTTGGAGAAGTATTTAAATTAAATTTTTGATAGATTAATTAGTTTGAATATGTTTTTAGTCCAAATATATCAAATCACACAGTTTGTACGCGGGAATGTATCTTTAAAAACTTGTTTGGATTTGAGTGTACTTACCCGCTAAAACGAATAAAATTCCACAAACAAATGTTAAAATTTTTCTTCCACCATTTGGTTTACAATGGCTAACAAAACAGAGGATGCCTCCAATAAGTAAAATAAGTAAACTAACTAAAGGGAACATAGTGGCTCGTCGTATATTTACTGAAACATAAAAACACATTATCATATTACATTTAAGCATAAAACTTGCAATGAAGGAATTTGCAATGTTTTGTTGGATGCTATAAATAGTCCTTCCACGACAACCATAGAAATAATAGTACAATATTAGTACAGTCATTATTGTCAGTGGGTCTCATATCTTTAAAGTTGATAAAATTAAAAGTAAATCGAATACTTACATAGTACAGTATCTATAGGTCTCATAATTTTAAAGTTGATAAAATTAAAAGTAAATCGCATACTTACATAGTACAGTATCTAAATGTCTCTTAATTTTAAAGTTAACAAACTTAAAGGAAATAGCATACTTACATATATAGTACAGTATCTGTGGGTCCAATACTTTTAAAGGTAATAAAATCAAAGGAAATAGCATACTTACATAGTACGGTATTGAGCGGAATAGCATTTCTAACATAGTACAGTACCCGAGGGTCTCATACCCTTAAAGTTATTAAAGGAAATGTCATACTTACATAGTATAGTATCTGTTGGTTTCATACCATCTCTTTCATCATTAACAGTAAAATATTGTATATATCTACAAGTAGGGTAAATAGCATCTCTGTCTGGAAATACAAAAATATATGCAAATTGTAGTACGAGTTAAAATTAATAAAATCGTAAATACCTGTTGATGTGATACATGTTACAAAACAGAAAGAAAAATAAAAGAACATAAGTATTTCACTATATAACCACCACAGCTTTGTCATGTAAATATGTAGAAACACGTAGAACATATAGAAAACTTTTACATTCTAGGCAAGCAATACTACTCCTTGGCATGTATAATTGTGAGTAGAACTCAAGGCCGCAAGCCTTCATTTTTTTAATTCATATTATCAAAAGAAAAGGAAACATTGTATAGTACAGATTTGCTGGTGGTTTTTTTATTTTTATTGTCATCTTACTACAGCATAGATGGCAATCATTAGATATGAACATATGCATAGGAGCCGGGCTGCCCCCCCCCCCCCATATCATAGAAATATAATTGTAAAGTGAAATCGCTTGCGGTTTACGTTTTGAATACTATAATACTTAAATGGAGCTTTGTGGAAAGCTCGTTTTAGTTAATGATTGATCCATTCGGAAAATTCGGGTGACAAAGAAAATTGTTGAGCGAATAGTCTCACCCCACCCCCTTTCCCACCCCCAACTATGGATATGAAACACACCACTTTAGACTCCGATGTGCAAGCTAAATGGTAAATCGTTACTTATTTCATGCGATCAAATGAACTCACAATCCAGAGCATACCATGATCTTCCATTGCATGTTTCAGCTTTCGTGGCGCGGTGGTTAAGGTGTTGACTCACTAACCAGGAGGCCCCGGGATCGATCGATCGAAGAATGTCCTTGAAATTATCCCCCTTGTCATGTCCAAAAAACGGTGTTTAGTCTTTCGGATGGCACGAAACATCCGAAGGACTAAACACCGAGATCGCGTGTGAATAGGCGGAAATGCCGCTGTCTGGGCAAAATGTCCCTCATTTCACACTGCATGTGGTATACCCGTCTTCATTTTCCTGGTTGGTGCATAAATATAGGATGTAAAACCCATTTTATTTCGTTTCAACTGTACAGGTCGGTAAATCATCGATGAGAAGGCTGGATAAAAACTTGACGACAAATCCTCATAAATTGATAGCCATTCCTATATAATATTCACACCAATTTACAAAAATACGGGATAAACTGACAGATATCTTCAGAATATTTCGTTAAGTTTACAAGTTGATAAATTCAGTGACAGCACTAACTTGATTTACGTCAATTAAATTAGAGAAAAACCTCCATTGTTACAGTAAAAAGATGAACTAACGTCAATAAGTTATATTTAGATGAACTCAACTCAAAGTTGTTTTTATCTTTTCGCGGATTTGAATTTCGGTATGAATGATCATTTTTAATGATTAATCGTAATGATTAATGTTTAATGATGATTAATGATCATGTTTAATGATGATTAATGATCATGTTTGATAATAATAATCATGTTTTATGACAATGAACATGTTTAATGATAATGTTTAATGATAATTACAAATTTACATGTTTGCATGTAATGGTCATGATATAATTTAATTGAATATTCTAATTGAAATGAAATATAATTGGGTTTAAATTACCACTTTTCTGTACCAACCTGGCTAATGAAGACGGCCATGCGCCATGCAGTGTATCCACCTTGTGCCAACGGTTCTTTGGCGTGACCGCCATGGGACCTCGATTTTCGGCCCCATTCGAACGAATAGACACTGTTTCGTACCAGACCCTACGCCATGTACCACTGACAAAGAGAAACCAGGAGCTGTCTCGGTCAACACCCATGATCGAACCTGGCTCCTCATATAAAAAGTAATTAATCACAACCCAGCTATCATGTAATGTCCATTACATTTCAATAACATTTTCTTACAAGTTTCTTGAAAGTTTACGATTAAAGTAAGTCATATCTTAACATGAAAAGAAGTGAACTATTTATATAAATATTATTCATAACATAAAATAAGTAAATTACATTTTCAAAAAATTCAAAATTTAAATTTTCACAAAACCCCTTTAAACAGTAGTGACCATGCAGTACGCGACAACCGAAAGACAGGCCGCTTATAATTTGTCATAAATTTTGTTTTTGTATTGTGGCTCTTAACAAATTGACAATTAACTCAAGATGCAAAACACTGATGTTGTTTGGAATCGGCTTTGTTTAAATATCAAAAGTCAAGGGGGGACAATTGAAATAAGTGTTTTAAAAATGTCAAAGTTTTTGGTTCTGAACAAATTATATTTACAAACGATCATGACGTATTAAACAAAGACAAATCTAAATCGTGAATTCAGTTTGAGTACGACATGGTATATGACGTCCTATTTGTCCTGAACAACCCAGGCTCATGAAGACGGGCATACGGGATGCAGTGTGCTATGGCTGAAATTTTGCCCGAACAGCCGCGTTCCAGTCTACTCTTAATTCGAAGTCCAACTTAAAACGTGTGCCTTGGAGTTTGAATGTGACAATAAACCGGGACCCAACCTAGTACCCATTGGCGTTCAGGTGGACAGTTGGAATTCGAAAAAGAGTATGCAGAAACGCCGCTGACAAGACATTCTAAAAACACATAATTTAAAAACTATTGTTCCATTTGTTTAAAGCTTCAGTTAATGGCGAATGTAGTGTCAGAGGCAGATTGCGTTTATTTATTCTGGACACCTGGCACTAGTTTGACTCTGATTTGAGAAGAAATGAAAGACAAGGAGCAATTACGGTTAAATATGTGAAGTACTCAAAATCTCCGAAATACAATTTTAGCCATCTGAGTAGGAGCGTTCCTTCGCAAGGCAAGTGCTTTAAAATTGAGTTGGTTAGTGGTTATAGAGTTGTCGGGTTTGATAAATCAACCGGGGATTAACATGTGATGCCGAGAATCAGCACGCGAGTTGAGTGGCCACATTATATAGAGATTTACAGTCTAAAAGGACCTGTAAAACAAATCAATACTTATAATAGTCTTGATCTCTAGGTCACGAATTGTAAGCTATAAGTCAACAACGGAACGAAAATGATTTTGATTTCATCCCTAGAGAAATTTACATATCTGTGAGAATATTTGATCATGAGGTCAGATAAGCCTGGTAGAAGTAACCAGTTATATGAAAAGTAAACCCACGAGCGAATGATATCCATCATGGCGACTTTCTATCATTTTCTATAGATTTATCGTTTTATGGGATACATTTATACAAATTGTTCCAATGGATTCGTCAATTTCTATTCTAATATTTAGCAAATAATTATTGACTATTTCTTTAGTTTACACCATGTTGAACTGTTGAATTTGTTCATATAGTTTGTATTCAGGATGTTGAACTCTTTTACCCAACACCCCACCCTTTGTATTCATTCATTTAGTGTTTTATCGTTGAATAGGCCTTCGACAAAAAGTATATAATTCTTATATTCATTGAGTTTTCTAGTTGAGGTTTTTTTTTGTTCTGGTTGAATTGATAAGTCGTTTCCATACACTACGCAGATGTGCCAGTCTATGGTACATTGGGAACTGGTGGTAAGGACACACACTTATGCATATACTTGTCCATTTCCAGACATCTTTAACATTCCACTAGTGACGGTTCAGTTGCTATAGCAATAGTGATGGTTCGGTTGTTGTAGCCATAGTGATGGCTACCAGCATGGTTAATAAAGACTACATAATACTAGTTGAAACAGCCATCAGTATAATAAACAGTATTTTTATTCCATCGAATGGTGTTCCGTGTGCTAGAAGTTTTTTTTTAAATATTTATAGTCAGTTAAAGAAATTAACATTTTTACATGTCTCCCTGGCTTTCAATTTATCTGGGTACCCGCTCCACTCCTTTTAAGATCAATGCGCTCTTGAAATTCGATGAAGAGTTGGCGTATTAAATGCCGCTGTCCGGGCAAAAAATTCCTGGCGTTTGTCTCTCTTCATTAGCCGGTTTGGGGCCGAAAAATAGGGTACCAAACCCTATTTCATTTCTTCACATGAGTTAACATCATCGTTCTGTACATTTACAGTGAAATTCCACTCTTAAGACCAGTTGTGATACTAATAAAAATTGGACATAACAGTGGAGTATCATTTACACCAAGTTGGAATCCAAGGATACGCGAGTAATACTGATGTGGTATTTGAATGGGATTTCACGGTATACTACAGGTTCCGGGTTATTATCCAATCAATTCATTAAACTGTCTATGACGCTGCTCTGTCTTAGCTAGATTTTAACAGCATAGCAATACACCCAGCTTGCATTAAACTGTCCCTGGCGCTGTTCTGTCTCAGATTTTAATCATACACCCGACTTGCATTAAACGTATTTTCCCGCCCGTAATTGATGACGTGTCTCGTCTGCGACGGGAGTAAAAGTTTTATTAGTAGACGAAATTGGTTCTATGAAATATGACTGACTAGTTAATAAAGACTATCACCGTCTGGTTAATCTCATCACAAAGGTCAAGTAGGGTCAAACGTCAAATACAATATCTTAACTACCTTGAGATAACCCAGGTTTTAAAGTAGAAATCGATACCGAGAACAAGAAAGATTTGCCATTAGAAAACACACCAGATCTTGTCAATGGACATACATCTACATAGTAATATGAAAGGCATAATCGTTATCTCATTCCGAAATTCATAGGATAAACATGATTATTTTCATATCGTGTTAGGGGATATTTAGGGAACCTCTGGGAATAGAAAGATTTGTTTGTCTTTAGAAAACACACCAGATCCCTTCAATGGACATACATCATTTTCATTGTACACCATGATTTTATGAGATATCGAGGAAATGGATATCTTTTAGCAAAAGCTACAAAACATCAAATTAGTCTCTCATCCAGAGCACGAAAATATTCTACGAATATTAGTCTGGATGCGTTGTCAACATTTGAGAAAGATAGGTTGCCAGGCAAAGAAACATACGACCACAGAAGCTAAATCGTCCGAGGAGTCGACAAGGGTTGTCGAATATATATTTCTTTGTAAGCAATTGGGGACTCTCATCCAGAGCA